GCATGATCGCATTTATTACCTCGTGAAACGGGGGGAGGGGATTTGTTTTACATACAAGCTCTTCTAAATCTGGTTTTGCAGTGCTAATCGATGTGAGGCCAGAGGTGAAGCCTGCGGATGATTTCGAGTACAGTCATAATTGGTTTTTCATGGAGCAGCTGCAGGCATTCGAAGTTTGGCTGAAGTATGGTGGTGAGCAGAAGCAGGCTCCTCAGCAACTTCCTGTTCTTTTGCAAGTACTTTTAAGTCAGGTCGTGGAGTATTTATCACAATATATTGTCTGCCTACGCTATAAAATCTTGCCACATTTGCAGTCACATTCACCAGAAAATTTTTTGATTTTTTTTTTTTCATATTTATACAAAAAAAGAAAAAGCGACAAAACTGGATAGCTTAATTTTTTCTGCTTATGCTTTCTGGTTCAGGCCTGATTCTTTTCTTGTGGTGCCTAGCTGCACAAGCTTTGCTGCGCTGCCAATCGCTGGTCAGTTCTATAGTAATGCATAGCAGCCAAGCTCAAACCTGGAATGCTGGGATATAATTCATAGTCTAGTCCTTCAGCCACGCAGCCGGAAACTTTTCCAATTGCTTTGTATCACTGGACAACCTGTTAGCGAGGTTTATGTTCGTTCCCTCTCCTGAAGGGATTACCAGCTCAGAGATCCTCTCGTTAGACGTATTTAGCGTTGATTTATGTTGAATATCACCACCTTGTCCTGAATATTTCTCCTGCTGGACTGGCATATGGTCCCTTAACAATTTCTAAGAATAACCACTTGGCACGACATCTCCAGGCATGCTTGGGGTTGCCAGGACTTCTAGCTTACCATATTCTTTGATAATGAATAGCCCGTTGCATAGCCCTTGTTTTGGCCATGAGATTGGTATTTGTAAGAGAAAAAGCTAAAATATTGTTACGGAATAATTGTATTTGTTAGGTACATCGAGTGAAGGCGCTGGAATTGCTGGCACGCTTCCTGGATCTCGGTTCATGGGCTGTGGCACAGTCTCTTTCGATTGGCGTCTTCCCCTATATACTTAAGCTCTTGCAAAGTGCAACAAAGGAGCTGCGACCTTGGCTGGCTTTCATTTGGGCAAAAGTACTTGCCGTCGAATCAACCTGCCAAGAGGATCTTATCAAAGACAAAGAACGCGGGTAAGTGCTTTTTTTTTTTTGGAAAACCAGTGAAGATTTTGTGCATTTGCCTAGAGAATATAAAATTTAACAGTGGAAAACAATACGGTCGCATGTTCTTGGTAAGAGTGAAATGCCGAGGGGCGTAAACGCTTGCTTTCGATAGCTGTTCTGACTGTTTTTGTGACACAAAAAGCTTTATGGGTCTGCGTATAGCTGCTTTGCTTTAATTCCACGGATGCCAAGATCACTCGGAGAATGGCACGAGGACCCCATGGTCAGTGATTTTACTGGGATGCTCTCGAAAATCAAGCGCAAGTATGCCAGATTGTTCGTTCCTAAGCTTCAGACTTTGTTCTGACATCATATTTATATGGGATTCATTTTGTGGCGCTGTTGTTTAGCACAGTGACTCGTGCAAATTTCATAAAATTATCTTTTGAAGTCCAACGAATTATTCGCAAAATTGCTGCAGCTGTTGCTCCATACTTCTTGGCTGACTTGATGGTGCTTATAGTATAAGCTAAAGTCTTCAACGTCGTCGTATTCACTGTTGTTTGGGAGAAGGATCCTTGCCAATCGTGACCTAAAGGATGTGAAAGAAATTAGATCTCAAATCGGCAGTGGAAGGAAAAAAGAAAAAAAACGCGTATTTGCGTTTAGACATCGGACTTGAAAATGATTTCTAGGGTTTTTAAAGCAAATAGAAATGTTTTTAACACATCGAATTATTAAATATAGTCTCGGAAGAACACAAGAAATGCCACCAGTTGGAAAGATGCGCTTGAATGTTTGAGTTTGAAATGAAGAAGAATGGAAGGAATTACAGCTGTATTAATAGCAAGAAAAAACGCGATAGTGAAATTACAGTCTTCGGAGCTTATCATTTCTTTTTTTTGCATTTTTATGAATGCGAAAATACATTTGAGGACCTCTGCCTTTGTTTGTGGATGTGTTTCTGTTTATTTTTTGGCGTATTTTGATCTCTTCTTCAGGAAGACGAAAAAAATTGAAATTTGGGAGCATGACCCTTGTTCCGAATGGCTCGGAATCTGAGAGTACAAATGGAACTAATAAATCCGAATGAAAAGCCTTCTAAATTCCACTGGATCTTGAACAACTAACCCAAATAGATAGATCCCAAGTTTGGTTTCCTGCTCCAAAATTGCAGTTATTTCCTATATTTTAATTTGATTTTCATAGGGAGATTATGCAGAAAAGGCGCAGCTCCGTTGACTTGACATGAATCGATGTTCATTAGTTTTGTTGCAGATACATGTATTTTTTGCAAATTCTGAACGATCCGCATACAAATCCGCGACAAAAAATTGTGCCCGCATTTGTGATGGCTGCTGTGATCCAAAATAATTACAGGTAGTTCATTTTGATGACGCTTTATTGAAGGGTTCATTGTGGAGCTGTGGATTTCCACAGATCATCCTTTAAGTTTTCTTATCCGTCATGAATGAATTATCCATTGGTGGAACTTACAGTTTCTAACTGAACGAAAGTTGATCTGTTGTGCAGTGCTTTCTGGAGACGCTAGGAATTTTTATGCGTTTTGTGCTGTGTAACAGCGTTACAAGACGCATATTGTCACAGGGTTGTCTGTGTGTGCTTGTGTGTCCGTCCCACATTTTGTCCCGCACTTTCAACTCGGGAACCACAAAAGCTAGGCGGATGAAATTTTGGTATAGTCTTCCCCGCCAAAGGTTGACGCGGTAAATTTAAATTCAGCCTTTCCCTACCCGCGTGTAGCTGATACGGCGCCGTGAAAATTTTTTGCGGGTAAATTAATATCTCAGGAACCACAGAGTCTAGGAGGCTGAAATTTTAGAGTAATGACCCCCTGCCCACGCTCAACCTCGCCTATTCAAATTCAGTATCACCTCGCTGTTGAGTATCACCAACCGCCTCGTGAGAATTTTGGCGGCTAAACTATTAACTAGGGAATCACGGAAAGATATTCACCCTTTAAGGTTTCGAATTCAGCGTGAAATTTTTAACTATTTTCCAATTTTTGAACTATTTTTGCATAGACAAAAGTAAAAAA